TAGGTAGGTAGGTAGGTAGGTAGGTAGGTAGGTAGGTAGGTAGGTAGACAGCCAGACAGATGGGATTACATCAAGCTGAAAAGTCTCTATAACAAAGAATTAGCAGAAGGTATTTGTGGACAATGCTCAGGTATGCAAAGTCCAAGTAGTAACTCAGCTTGATAGCAATAGAAACAACTCTTATTTTTTAAGAAAAAGATGAATTACATTTCTGAATACACATTTTCCAAATGAATGTATGGAGTTTGGCATAGTGGTGAATGACTGTAACCCTAGTTCTCAGGATGTGAAGGCAAAAGGACCACCAATCAAGTTTGTGGCCAATATGCACTACACAATGAGACTGTGCCACAAAAGAACAGAAACAAAATAACAGCAAACCCACAAACAATGAAGAAATACAAATAGTCAAAAGTATATAAGAAATTGTCAAGCTTCACTGATTTCTAGGAGAAGGCTAACTGAAACTCACTAAGCTACCACTTCACTTCAAATAGCTGTTACCAAAAGACAGAGACAGCAGGTAGTGATGAGGATATGAAAAAAGAAAGAGGGAGAGTGAACCCATAAACAGTGTGTGTGGGAATTAAATTAGTATGGCTGTTTGGAAAATAGCATAAGAAGTACCTTAAGAATTAAAAATAGATCCACTACATGAGGGTTTAAAAAAAATCTCTTGTAGATACACAGAAGAAAATGAAATGTGTATGTTAAAGAAGTTTGTGTTTACTTCATTGATTCACTATTTGTAGCAGCTATGGTTCAGAATCAGTCTGAATGTCCAATGCAGGATCGATACCTAAGAAGAAATGATGATAATTTAGATGTGTGATTTTAATACTGGATCTTGTTATGTAATCCAAACTGGCCATGAAATAGTTCTTGTGTGCTGCGGTTGCAAAGGTATGTTGCCATATCCTGTTTTAAAGGGTAGTTTAAAATAGCAGTCATTTCAGTAAATAATGCTGCGACAGTTGAATGTCCACATTCAAGAAAATTAATGTGTTACTTGATCGCTATACACAAAAATAAACTCAAAATTGATTCTGTCTATATATGACAGAACAATCATTCAAAAAAGAAAAGATGAGTCAGTCTTTTTAACTTGATTATGAAATTACTTAGGTATGATATGATATGAAAACTAAAGTTTTTATTATCAAAGTTTTTATTCTAAATAGCTATATTTGTAGGAGTTTTATTACATTTTTAAACTGTCCAAAATTTTTAAGAATTTTCATAATTCTAGATAAATTCCTTATCAGATATATAACTTAAAGTTATATGTGTGTGTACACACATATATATACATACATATATATATATATGTATATATATATATCAAACCTCTTAAAATTAAAAAATGAAAATACCTTTTAGAGCAGTGAGATGGCTCCAAGAATAAAAGCTCTTTCCACAGAAAACCCAGAGGCCCAAAATCAGTCCATGAAACCCATGATGGATGGGGAGAGCTAACTCCCAAACGAGGTCCTCTTCCTTATACACACCTGTCATAGCATGCACCCCTCCCTCTTTCCCCCATGCCACTACAATAGCAGTAAACACAATTTTTAAAATATCAAAAATGTTTTTGCTATAAAAAACTACAATATATTTTTAAAATACTTTTAAAAAATACAAGCAACTGCAAATAATGAGTTCCCATTCTATTGTACTTAGTATTGTTTGCTTGTTTATTTATTTTGTGATCAATGATTTAGTGCAGAACATCTGATAGTGCTGCTCAGAGCAGCTGAGTCGGTGCTTTCAGATCACTGTAGCATTGACTAAACACCTGGGGTAAAAAGAAGGTTTATTTTATCTTGTGATGTCAGGGATATCAGACCATTGTCACATATCTGTTTCTGGACCTGTAGTGAAGCAGAATGCCATGCAACATTTAGGGAACATGTTGATCCTGAAGGACAGCAAAGGAGGGAGAGAAGGAAAGGGAATAAGAAACCTATTTGAATAATCACAATAATAATAATAATAATACAGCTTTATACACAGTTACTTCCTATACAAAGTTCAGTTCTTTCTGCTCTCTCTGCTCCAATTTTTGCTCTTGATTCGAGTCAAGTCATCAGTACCATTGACACAGCCTCTATTGTGGGATACCTTGAAGTTTCCTTCAGTGGGTTGATAAGTTTGGCACTTGTAAATTAATCTTTCCACAGATCTTGTGCTCTGACCAAAATAAAACAATTCTTTTGCAGAATTTATTATTCATGACCTCTAGTCTAATTTCTAATGAAATGAGCATTTCTAGCTGTACTCTCATGAATTTGACTATTATCCTCACATTCCTATCAGTATCCTGGACTTCTTAGCTAATGCCACTCATCTCTACTGAAGCATTCTAGCATTGCTGTGACCAGGATACTTAAAGGAAGAAAAATTTCCAGGTATGATTGTACATGCCCTTCATCCCAGCACTAAGGAGGCAGAAACAGGCATATTTCTCTGAACTTGAGGCCAGCCTGGTCTACATAGTGACTTTTAGGCTACGTACAGAGACCCTGTCTCAACAAGAAAAAAAGAAGAAAATGTTATCTTGCATTTCAGAGGTCTCAGTTCACGGTCACTTGGCACTCCTATTTCTGGATCTCTATTGACACAGAACATCATGGTGAGAGAGCATGATGGTCTTTTGAACGGTAGCTGGGATTTAAAGAGAGTAGGAGCAGAGGATTGGGAACAAAATGTTTTCTTAAACATTGGCTGTTTTGGTTACTCTTCTTGTTACTGGGACAAAAATCTGCTAAAGAAGATTTAAAAGTTTAATTTTAGCTCATGCTCTCAGAGAGGTCTAGCCATAGTCACTTGAACTCATGTGCTTAGACTGAAGAATATCATGGCAGTGAGAGCAAGTGGCTAAGAAGAGCTATTTATTTCATGGCCAACCAGAAACCAGAAATGTCAGCATTTGGCTCACTTTCTCTTTTTCTACTTTTTGCATGAAGAGTTCCTAACCTACAGTAATAGTACCACTCACTCACATTCAGTAGGAATCTTCTTTCCTCTTCTAACCCTTTCTGAAAATAGCTCCAGAGACACAAACCTATTTAGAGGAAAGCCTCACTCTCAGGTGATTCTGAATCCAGAGAAGATGACAATGAAGTTTAACTGTCCAAAAATAAATAGATAGATAGATAGATAGATAGATAGATAGATAGATAGATAGATAGATAGATAGATAGATAGATAGATAAGTAAGTTCATCTCAAGCTTTTGGTAAATACCAATAGTCCATTAAAATATAAATATATTCACCAGTTCAACCACTGATGAGATAAGCTCTCAAAATCTAGTCATTTACTCAAAGTATGTCCTGAAAACACTGTTGAGCTTGGGACTAGAGCTTCAACACATGAGCTTTGAAAACTCATTTCAGATATAGACTAATGTACTGTGGATAGAGAATTATTTGCCTAGGTTGAGAGAGATCTCAGCAGGGTTCTTTAGACTCCTTTTCTTCTATGACCTCAGTCAGACTTAAACCTTTGTAACTGTGAAGAGTGTTTTATTATTTTTACAATCCTTACATTTAAT